CCGGCCGGCGCAGCCCCTGCCCGGGTCCCAGCGCCTCGGAGACGCCGCAGGTCGACGGCGGCCCTGACCCGGCCAAGAGCCCACAGTGCAGGCGACGCTTCCAGAGGCTCTGGCCTTCCCGCTGGGCTTTGGCTAAGGGCAACACCCGGGCCTCCAAGGGGAACTTACTGCCCCCGGGCAGGGTCCAGCGGCCCGCAGAAGGCTCCAGCTCGCGGCTCTCAGGCCGGCCAGGGCTGAGCGCTGCCCTGGACGTGCTGAGGGCTCCTCTCCGTCTTAGAGTCTCAAGCTGGGACATGTTAGAACGGAGGATGCCAACTTGCACAGAAGGAGCTGGCCACGCTGACCACTCCCAGGGGTCCTTCCCAGAGACGGGCGAAGTGCAGGCTCCTGGCCAGGGCAGAGCAGGGGCTGTCGCCCTAACCGGGTCACTGGGAGTTCGGGGGAGGCAGAGAAGCTGCGGTCAGGCCACCGGCACACGGAGACCCCCACACTGTCCGTGCCGCGTGGCAGCAGCCCTGGACTTGGCTGACAGACCGCGGCAGGGCCGAGCCACCCCGACCCCACCCGGCTGAACGCAAATCAGACACCAGGCGGGGGGTGGGGGGGCCAGGGCTGCCCCACCGGGGTGGTTGGGGCCCCTGCGGCACAGCCGTGGCCTCGCGTCACCCCCAGGGGAGCCCCGACGGCAGGTGTGTGACAGCAGCCACGGCCAGAGCAGGTGGCCACGGGCAGGCCAGTGAGCGGGCCCCGGCCACGGCTCAAGTGAGCGGGCGAGAGGCGGCCAGGCCTTCCTGCAGTGCCGGCCTTGCCCGGCCAGAGGCACATTCCAGGCCGGCACTTCCTCCTTCCTCCTTCCCCCCCAGCGCTGGCCGGGGCCACCTGGACCCCGGCTGAGGACGCCAACCGAGCGGGCCAGCAGGCGCCGGCTCAAGGGGCCTCCCTGGGCGCACGGGCGAGGGCGGCCCCCACCCTCACCCGCTCACGGCCTCGGCCACGCGCCCCCACCAACAACCACCACGCTCGGCCCAGCGCCCGGCCATGAGTCTGCGGGGCCACTGTCCACGGCGCCACAGGACCATGGCAGTGGCGGGCAGCTGTGAGGTCCCGTGACCCCGGGGCTTCCCGAGAGAGGGGCCGCTTTCCGGCACGGGGCGCCCTGGGCGGCGGGCGCAGATCCCAGGCACCGAGAGAGCTGCTTTCACGCCAGCGGGAGCTCCCATGTGGGCTGGCCTGGGGTCTCGCTCTGTGGCCCGCCCTGGCCACGTACGAGGACGCCCGCCACCTGGCGCCCGTATTTCCAAACTGAGTGGCCCGGGGCTCCCCCCGCAGGGTGGCACAAGCAGGTGCAGAAAGGTGAACACTCCAGGGCAGGGAGGTGCCGCCCCAAATCCACCAGGAGTGCCAGGACGGACGCCAGGAGCTTGTCATTAAAACTGAGGTGTCTTAAGTCCCGAGTCACCCGGGTAGGATCCAGGGCAGAGGCACCAGCACAGGGGCCGGGTGGCCGGGCGGCGGCGTGGGGAGCGTCCCGGGGCGCAGGGGGGCAGCTGGCCGGCCCACCCCGCCACCCACGGCCGGCTCGACCTCTCCGGCCGCCTCCCTCGCTGCCACAGGCTCACGCCCTCGGCCCCCAGAGCCATGAGGATTCCGAGATGACGACTGTGTTCAAAGTCGCAAACGGGTCAGGGGCTGCCGTCCACGGCCACTGACCCCACGTGGCCCGGATGCAGGGTGGGGGGCCCATTCCTGGTGGGTCAGGTCTGGGGCGGAGCTGGGCTTGGGGTGCAGGTCCACACGGCCGGTGCAGACACAGGTCAGTGTCCAGCGGGGTGCAGCCTCCACCCAGCGTCAAGAAGGGGCAGACGGGCACCCCTGGGAATGCCGGCCGCTCTGACAGCGGCCCGGCCCGGCGGCGCCCTCGGTGGGGTCCAGGGCCCGGCGGCCCTGTGTCTGGGTTCCGCCACGCTGCCCTCCTAACTTTAAGGATGCTCGGAACCCCCCAGCGGGAATTCTGGGCTCCGGTCCAGAGATCTGCCGCGCCATGCCGCACCCGCCCTCACAGAAACTCACCCCCTTGCGCCGGGCCTCCTGGTTCAGGGCGGTCACCCAGGCGGCCTGCCACTGGCTCCGCCAGCCGTGCAGCGTCAGGATCCAGGCGAGCAAAGCATCGGACTCAGGGCGGCGCCCCGCAGCGGGCTCCTCGGCTCGCCGCGGGGTCCGGGGTCGCGCCCGGGCCAGCGCCCACTGCGCCAGGTACAGGCCCACCGTGCCCAGGGCCACGACGAAGAGAGACACCAAGACCAGCCACTGCACCTCTCCGAGCCACGAGCCCAGGCGCGGCATGGTGATGGTGCATTCCCGGCGCCGCGCGCCACCTCCCGGCACGGTCCGCGGCCAGCGCTGGAGCCGCGCTCAGGACACCGGC